CTTCCTCCTTCATCTTCGCCTCCAGTCCTTTATCCCTTTTTCTCCAGTTACTGCAACTCGAGCTGAACTGAGTTTTAGCAGTTGCCAAGATTCATCGCTTTGTTTATATTTGTAGAAAACAGCAAAATCACCAGTGTGGGAGAAAATGCAAGCATTAGGCAAAACAATAAAAATTTCTGCTATGAAAGACTCGTGAGATGAAGAAGCTATGCAGTTAATGAGGTAAAACGCAAAATTATACTAAATGAAAACAAAATTTTGGGCAATTACTAAAAGACGCCTCAGCCGCGCTGTATGATATTCAGTTTGCAGACATCGCAGTTACGGGTCTTTTGTCCTGTTGAAATTTTGAATGTCACTTTCAAGCTTATTAACTTTCCATAAGCATCGGTTTTCATGCTGAGTATATAAAGCTTACGTAACCCTCCGCCGAGAAACCCGACTCCGTTTCCAGATCCAGCCCCCAATTATGATTTGAGCTTCCTCCCCTCTTTTACGAACCCCGAAATCCAAGACACTACCCCTTGGCTCTGCCCCACCTTCGTTGGCCTTTATTTTTTCCCTCTGCTTTCATCCCCAATCGCTGCACTCGACCGAGCCAAGTCAAGATTTAGTAATTGCCAAATTTAACGAAAGAGATGCGAATTTTAAGAAAACGGCAATATAAACTTTTTCAAATATTCTGTTTAGAGTCCGAAGAGTTTTAAAAAAAGAGCAATATACGATGCATTTTTATTTTTGCGCCTCAGAAAACTCCAAATCCGAATGCAAGAATTAACATCCAACCGACTGCAGTTTTTGAACAGTAATTAAGTAATACATTAGAGCCTTGCAGGTATTATATTTAAAAAGCGGCCACTTCCGCACGATTTTCCGGCATTTGCTCATGAGAAGCCGGCAGCGGAACTGGCAAAAATGCACAACAAGGACACTGAGGAACCAACAATGGACAAACCGTCTGAAAAAATAACAACGCTTGTCAGTGAACAAAATTTGAAAGAGAAGGAGAAGGCACAAGCGAAAACCGAAAAAGACACAGAAACATGAGTGAGAAATGAGACACAAGTTTTCATCAGTTTACTGTACAAAATTAGTTGATATCACAAGAAGTTTGAAAGTTGCTTCTAAATTGTTCGTGTTATCGTTCATTGAATTAGACTTTTAAAATCCCACAGCGCAGTTTTACCAGAATTAGCATCACAGTATTCGCAGCATTTTCATACTGAGAAAAAAACTCGGTATACAAAAGAATTCCTTGGTTAATTTGAAGTTTTATGGTCTTGTACACATACAGCGGCGAGCCTCCCAAGGTTTTAAGCTCCCAGCGTACGTAGCTCATAATAAAATATCTGGGCATATAAGTATACAAATGCATAAGTATGTGCACAGAAACACAAATACGTGGGTACACAACACACATACAAAGCACAGAGTATTTATTAGACGGCTATTAAATTCAAGAATGTATAATCTTGCACTGACACAGTGTAGCAACAGAGGCTGGAAATGCTTTCATAAAAAACTTTTGGGCTCTTCGCAGGTTCTCCAAATGTCTGCTTTCAGTTCCATAGGTACCGCTGGCATTGGTTTCTCATCGTTATTGCATGCATAAAGGACAAACTGTATATCTGGAATATCTGGTACATCTTTAAATGCATCCTAAAATCTTTTATTTTCGATAGTACTACTGGCACTTAAATTTTTGTATAGTACCCTTCCATTTTCAGGACTATCATTTCATCGCTGTATGTTGTTAGGCCCGTTGAAATTGTTGTAACCTTCGATATGTGCAATCCTAGAAAGCCTTTTCAGGTAGTAGATAATGCGGAATCTCATTTGTAACCCTCTCAACCTTAAGATTATCCTTACTCCCTGACGCCTATGAAGATCTACATAATGCAAAGATCTGAATTCAATTCAGCGTTACATTTTTTGAGAAACTTGAGAAGTATAGCGGGTGCTCCAAGTGGCTGTATTAACACTCCCCCTTTTCCTTCCTCCTGCTTTTTTATGCGTTTTTTGCGGCTATGCAGTGCAGAAAACGCATATTGACGAGGGGTTGTCTGTGTGTCTGTACGTTCGTGTGTGCGTCTGTCACGGTTTTTCATCTCAAGACCTATAAAAGCTACAGGGCTGAAACTTTGGGAACTTAATCTACATGCACGTACGGGCCCCAATCCCCAAAATGGGCGCCGACACCCGCGTGGTACCCGCATACGAGCTCGCCAAAGTTTTTTCGGGTAAGTTCATAACTCAGGGATCTGAGAAGCTAGAACGCTGAAATCTTAGGGGGATGTTCCCTGTCCAAGTGGATATTAGCGAGTTCAAACCCAGCCCGCAGGTAAGCGTGGTACCTACGTGCGGGCCCGTGGAAGTTTCTTCCGGGTAAGTTGCTAACTCGAGAGTGTGAGAAGTTAGAAGACTGGAATTCTGAAGAGATTTTTCCTGACAGTTCTGACGGCCAGTCTTAATTTGTTTAGCTAGAAGCATTTACCGGAAAAACTGGTGCCAGTAGCGATAACAACAGCGGGGAACTATGCAAAAAACGCATCTTCGCACGGACAGCCCGTGCGTTGGCCAATTATTTATCTGAACTTGTGCTTTTGATAAAAAATGAACAATAGTTGTTCTGGAGAGCATTATACATGCAAAATGAACCAGGACAACTAGACAGTGGCAAATAATTAGGTATATCACCGCTACTTCGGCATGCTTGGAGCTACCGGGATTTTTCTCCAGCCACATCTCAACACTCCCCAGTCCTTTTTCACACCACGCAGAGGGTGTATTTGGATAGGAATTTTGTTTATATTGTAGGGGTGTAGAGGTGAAAGCAGGCCCACATACCTCATGTTTGGGTACGTCAAAGAACCCATTGATATTGCCCAACTCTCTGGCAAACCCGGATACAAAGTATGTGGGATGAATTATGTGAGATTGCCTCCAAATTACCAACGACCTTGATTATTAGTTGGGCACTGAGTTTACATGAATGGAGACAGCTTATGAAAGATCTATCAACTGCCATCAATAGCGATTACTAAAAGTCGGCTCGGCACGGCTCGGTTCGGCTCGTGTCTTACACGACTAGCCAAAAATTATTTGTATGGACGACGGGTAGGGTTGCCCGTTAAGCCCTGTGCTACAAATATGGTGAGGGCTACTGAA